GCATGTTTGCTGCAAACAGATGTGTGTGTGTGGGGGGGGGTGGTGGAAAAAAAAGAAAGAGAGAGCTGGAACTCAACAGGCAGGTAAATAGGGATGAGAGTTTCACATCCCAGCAGTTGAAATTCACTTATCGTCAAACTAATGAAACCACCCGGCAGAAAATCAGTTTCAGATTTCAGGCCACGATCTGCTGTTTCATTACCACATCCAGACAGGTGTACAGGAGCTGTGAATGTTGCTAGAAATACTTCAAAGGAAATGATGCATGAGAACTGCTTCATTTCTACGCTTTGCAAGTACTGCCTCCGATGCTCATTATAGATGGGGAAAAGGGAACAAAATTGGAAAAAAAAAAATTTTCTGTGGGGAGGATTAAGGTTGATTGATTTTGTACCTGGTGCTTGAACCCCTGTATCTTTTAATAGCAGTGACGTGGGAGTTGTTCCAGGAGGTGTGATAAACTATTCACAGCTTTCTGCAAACCCCACACCCTACAAAACGTGATGGGCTTCAATCGGTGGGGGATGTGGGGGGGCGGAGACATGCCCCCACTTTTTAGGAGGAGGGATATATCATTTGTCCCCTGCACTTTTTTTCCAGGGAGTAAGGCTACACATGACTCATATTTAAGATAAAAATTATTTGGAAATTAAATAAATCTTGCAAAAGCATTTATTACAAAAAGTGGTCACACAGTGTCTTTGATCACACCACAAAACATCTAGAATCCAAAATTTCCCCAGGCCCTCAAGCAGGCGCCAGATCCCACGATGTTAGGACTTCGTGTTTCAGGCTCACGTTAGTTCTTATCAGGGATGTATGTCCCCCCCTCCACTTTTGAAAGCAACTGAAGCCCATGCTGGCAACCTTAGACTAGAGGTCAATTTCATTGAAATATGTACAGGTGGACCAATGGGATAACTGGGGCATGGCCAAGGCACGGGATGTGCCCAGTAGAAGTGTGTTCCCCCCCACCCACTTGGTGCCCCTCCCCTTACAAAGTTTGACATTTTGAAATGTTTACAGCATACATGTATGTACAAGCCACAGAAAACTTGCTTTCAGTGCCCCCTGAAAGAAAAACTGCGTACCTCTAGGTGATCCCTCAGAAATCTCATCTTAGTCATGTCACTAGAGGAACACAGATAAATGCAAGTGCTATAAATGTCCGAATGTGCACTGAAGAATTTGACCAATCAGATTATGGGGAAGGACGAACCGACGGAGCCCAGAGCAGCCAATTAAATCTCAGAAGGTATTAAGTCTAAGGTGCTCCTTGATGCATCTTGCATGCCTAGTGGGGGTAATACTGCCTCCTTTGCAAGTAATTCCTAATTGATACACTTTTGATGCTTATTCTGTGCACTGAGGATGATGCTGCATAGTCTTTCCTGAGACCTGGTAAAGGACCCATGCACATTGGATTCACGACGGGGAGAGACTTAGTTTCTTGTCCCCCCCCCTTGAGAAACGGTGTGGTAAAAAAAGGAAAAGGAACCAAAACAGAAAAATAATTAATTCACATGAAAATACCTCAAAATAGACTCCCCTCCTTTGTTGATGATTTGTCAGCTTCCTGCTTAGAGCTTTGTCTCCCACCCCCATGAACTTTATCCCTTGTCAATGCCTGTGGGTACAGTCCACTAATTCAATCCCAATTGAAAACAGTGTAAAATCGGCACTGTTCAGGGCCCAATAATTAACATGCATACCAACATCCCTGAGATTTCTGGAACGGAAATTAAATTGTTGCCTGGTCCCTAATCTTTCAATTTCTTTTCATTTTTTTGTTGGTGAACCAATTACATTTTGAATTATTCCCACAAAACAAAATCACCCCCCAACAAGTGATTTTTCCAAAGTCTGACTGCAGCCACCCTCAACTTTCTCAAGCATTAGGACCATTTTTCAACCGTCGTTTTGAGCCATTCTGCTCTCATATAAAAGATCAAAGACCCGGGGAGTTGATCCAGGCAACGATTTACACCTCACCATTTTTGAGGTGGCAAACAATCTCCTTTATCAAAAGACACTGTGGAGGCACTTTTAATGCTAATGAACAGGCCAGAAATCCTCACTTGAATTAGAGGACTGCACCCCCATGTCCACACATTTGATGTGAAGTGTGCAGGGCTAATGTGGGCACGAACCTCCAGCATCTCATTAGTGGGGGGAACACACAGCAGTGCACACTTCAGTTTGCCAGTCCATCCACAAAACTACACACGCCCACCCTAAATCTCTCTGAAGTGTTGCACCAGGCCAACAACTAACTTCACACTAAATAAGAATCCAATTACACCTCCCACACAGGCAGCCCTTGGACAGGTACAATTCAGTTGGGACTAGGGCTAAGGCTAGAGAGGCTCTATTTCAAAATCAATCATTGTACACCAGCCTAAAGCCAAAGGTTCTAGAGTTCCAAAAGGTACGTCTGGCAATAGCAAATGCCCCATCTTTGGGTTTATTATGAGATCGAGGAGCAAAAAGTTTCATGAAATTTTCACTTCGCAAATTCCGAGCGCAATAGGACTTAAGGATCAAGTCCATCATATAAGCTGGTGTTTTGGCCTGCAACACCATGAAAACAACAACCAATATCTTGAACAGCAAATATGCACGTACTGGAAGCCAACGCAAATCTGTTAGCGAACTATTTGATCACTCAGTTTAGGAGAGAAAAATTTCAATAACTGAGTATCATCAGCAAACCCATAACCACTAATTATGTAGTTATTGACGACCTAAAAAAAAAAGTGAACTTGAATAAGCCAGAGAAAGCATGAGGCCTAAACATGAACCCTGAGGAACCTCAAACTTGACACCAATACATTCAGATAAAACTCCTGAAGCAGAAACCCTTTGCTGATGATGACAACCAAGAAAGTACAGTGTTGCCAAATCCAAACTTGTTCTCCATAATTCGCAGTAACACATTATGGTCAACTGTATCAAATGCAGCACAAAGGTCAAGTAACACCATCATAATGACCTGGTCCTGTTGATTACCCATACATTGGAAGATATCCAAAGTAATTCTGCAAAGCATGGTCTGTGAAACTGCCCATAAGCTGACCAATGCACTGCGTATGTGCAGTGATTTGATCTGATTTGATCAAAGTGATTCTTTGTCAAAGGAACTACCACTGCATGTTTCCATGCATAAGTAACAACACCGTTTCTGAAGGAACAATAATTGACGTTAGATGTAATAATAGGAAGTAGCACATTAATACATTCCTTCAACAACCACGTCGGAATCGGATCACTCACACACTGTTTTAATTAAAGGAGCTTCCAATATGTAACACTTTTCCAACTCCATATTAACAGCTGTAAACCAATCCAGATTTTTCTCAACACTTATTACTCTATATGAAACGTCATCAAAGGAAGTTTGACTCATTCCTAATTTTAATGATTTCACCAATAAAATAATGATGGAACTTATTAGCCAGATCACTTTCAGAACAAGTCGGAAATTCAAGGCTTCTGTCAGGCTTAAGTAAAGAATTAATAATGACATACAATTTCTTTTGATGACCATGGCAATCGTTAATCTTACTAGAGCAATATTCCTCATTTTGTTCAAATTTTGAATCACAAATTTGCTCTTTGAAAAAACATTTCTCCGAAAAGGTTGCTCGCTATTCTTGCACAAAAATGAATTGCCAAAGATATCAAAATTTAGACAGCAAAACATTAAATTTCATAGCAGTTTTTTGTGCACAAATCAATGCAAGATTGCAGTTCAGTGCCTTGGATGGCATCAGTTTTGCTCGTATGCAAAGTGGTATTAGCAGAAAAATAAAAAAAGGCTCCAAAAATTGAAAATAAGGTTGATTGAAACACAAGAGTGTTGTAGTAAAAACACTGTATTGCAAGGTCCCTTTAAATCATTCTCCTAATCCAAACCGGCAAATGAGGAACTAACAGAATCTGCAGTAAAAGATTTCCACAGTCTTGGAAATTTGGTACATGTGATATCCAATACAACATATAAGACGTCTATCTTCCGTTGCTCTCTCCCATACAGGCATGCACAGAAATCAATTTCTCAGAAGTTTGACAGCCAGATAGGACTCTGTTCTGAGACTCCTTTTTTCGTACTTACAGACCTATGTTGCATCTTGCAATGCAGGGAAGAGATTTTTTTCCCATCATTGCTAGCAGCAAGAACCAGGCTCAGAGGCAAAACGCTGCGCTATCACAACATACAGGAAATCTATATGCGGTGACAGCTGAAGAGGTTTTACATGGTAAGAAAAAAATGTTACACAGCAGCGATGGAAAATAGTGACAGTCGTTACTGGTAAGACTAGTTAGCAGGACTGTCACATAGCATTTGAAGATGATTTGGTACATGTTCCTTTCAATTATTTCTTTCAGTTCATGAAAATAAAGAATTAGTTAATTGTGCTTTACAGTCTAAAAAAAGGGGGCATGTGAAAAGCCAAAGTGGTGTTGCAAGGTCTGGAAAAAAGCGTTCAAAAACAGAACCACGGCTTTCAAGTCTGGACAAGATATTGAATGTTAATGGATTCTACCTTTTTTCATGTGGCAATAAAATCATTGAGCTCCACCTTTTCCCCTAAAACCCCCCAAAGACACACTCAACATCTGCTGTCTGCAAATGTACGAATGGAATGACAACACTTTTTTCCGATTTAAATTTGTCTTGGATAGCCCGAGTGAAAAGTGCTAAACCACTCTCCTTTCTCATGCTAAAGCACTCCATGTGGGGGAACGAAAAGCTGAGAGAAAGAGACTTTTAGGTGTAACTATAAACAGGAGGCCTCACTTAATTTTGAAGATATTCCCCATGACAACGAGGAATGGATTACGTCAAGTAGCAGTAGGTCCTGGATTAACAGATTAGGGATGTGATCACACAGCACTGCACAGTATCTCAACAAGTGAGGGGCAGAATTAACAGAGATGTTCACCAATCGGCACAGGCATTCACTTAGCATAGAAATTAATTAACAAAAGTAGCTTACCAATCAACGTGTCATGTACATGTGTGTACTGTGTATTTCTTGTGGGTGGTTCCCAGCAGATTTTTTGCTAAGCTGATGAGTTTGCTACGCTGTAAAGGCCGTATCCAAAACAAGACTGCTGAGCTATGGCTACTTCTGTTGTCAGCGCATCTCTGTGTATTTTCAAAGGAGCAAAGACATCAAACTAATTCCCTTTAGACAACAGATTAAGATGCAGCCATTTTCTGTTGAGCAGCTGTATAAACTGGGCCAAGCATTTCAAAAACTGAAACAAGTGGCCAGAGAAAATCATCTTCTCCTTAATGAATTGTAGATCATGTGACATAAATTATTTAGTGTAAATGGTGAGACCATGGGTTATACCCACGTGGCTTCTTACACACAGAAAGAACGTAGCACACCACGAGCACATATAGTAGGACGTTGACGGCTCTTCACACAAACACGCAATTTGGATAAATACCAATGAACGTAAACACCAGTGACATCTTGTCTTCTGTCACGTGAGGAAATATAAGTTATGGTGAAGCTTCTGTGGGTTATCAAATGATCAAAGTAATTGGTAAGACACACAGGATTGTCTGTTTATGTGAGCGTGAACTAAGGCTGAGTGTAAAAACCTCCCATTGCATTTTCACTTAGCAGCGACTTGTACACAGAGTTTAAAAGGGATATTCGGGCATGATATAAAACAAATAATGAATGTGTCACAGTCATGCAAGGGAAAGAATTCTTTCATTTGGTAACAGACTAAATGTCTTATTCCACTTGGCTTTGCTTCGTGAAATAGGCCATTAGTATCTGTTACCTCAGGAAATTATTCCAGCAATTGCACTCACATTCATCATTTGCATACTCCCATGAGGTTAGATCTCCAAGAAACACTTGATGACTGGAATCACAACTTTCAAAATGCTTTCATTTTGGAGGGGATGTTGCAGAGAGTACAGCCAACAGAATTTTTTTCCTTCTCTCTCAGTGGCTATCCCTACAGTGGCAATGCACATTTGTAACATTCTGCCATGGATTTAGTGGAATTCCACCTGGCGCCAGTCGGCTCAGCAGTAATTCCCTCACGTGTGTATGTGTGTGGTAGTATAGCCTCGAGACAAATCAGGTGCGTCCTTAAAGAGGCAACCTTCTCCTTGCCTTCCCCTTAGAGAGTGAGCCAATCTATGCCATTGCTACAGCAGAACCAATTTTTGTCTGATTTTTCTCCCATTGGCTAGGGAGACTACCAATGAAATTCAAACTGGGCTGCATTTTTCAGTGTAAGGTTAGGCAGGGGCACTGTTGCTGCTTGTCCCCCTTTAAAATGGGGGAGGGGGCTGTTGGAATCTTGGCTTTATCCCTGCTTTTGGGCTTCAGTTTCAAGAAATTTAGCCTCTCCATTTGAGAGCCTTTTAAAGCTCAGTGCATTTCCAGGTTTGCTACAGAAATGTCTGATTGTCTGATATGAGGCCAAGGTTTGGAGGATCTTTACGTGGTTCCAAGAGTAAACGTGTGGAACTATTTGTTGAGATTGGAGACGGAGATAATGGGCCGAGATTCAGAAAACCCCAAGGTGTCCCAGGATTACACGCAATCACGTGCTTGGATTCATGCACTGCCATGAATTATGGTGGGCTCAGATGTAAGCTGGTAGCATCACATTTTTAAGGCCAGCCTTGTGAAACCTTCATAAGCTTCATCCCTGGGCTATGGGGCACAGCACCATTAAAGTAATGTCAAAGATGATTTTTTTTCTTCTCCTCCTGGAAAAGTTTGAATTCAGATGAATTCACAGATTTTTGCAGAACAGGTAGATGGAAAATAACCCTAGCAACACTAGTACATGTACTTCAAATCAATGGCAAACTGAAAGTGTGAACGGTAGCTTCTATTTCTTATGTTTGAAGAAATCAGCACATTTTAGGTATCGTTGATGGGTTCGTGGTAAGAGTTCATTGCAAGTTGTTACTTCAAAACTGACATAAACAGAATTATCAACGGTACTCAATTATTAAATAAGTTACAAGCAAAAGTATCAGTCAACAGAATGTTTAAGATATTAGAACGTTTAATGAGGCAGGAACTGAAAGTTTAGAAAGCACATAGAAAATGATAAAAGAAACTCTTCTACTCCGTTTGTACATTCCACTCAGGTTTTTCTCAAATTACCAAAGCACAAGGGCCACTGTAGTCAACCATGATAATTACTTTCGAGTGCCAACTTTCTTAGAACAGCAACAAAGTAGACATCCTTACAAGTGTGATCTTCTTTTGGAAGAGCTGGCAAGTGTAAACAGTGACTCCCAAGGGATAGTAACATTTTTGGCATGGTAGACTCTCCTCTAAAAGCTTAACAGCCTCCCCATCACCTATGTTTGGCCTCTGTCACCCCGTGCCACACTAGGCAGAGGATCACCTGTGGGGTCAGTCTAGGGCAGCTATGTTGAAAGCCCGCTGATGATCCCACTAGAGGTGGAGAGGCGCCAGCAGGACTGTGCCCTAGACCAGGGAGGAAAGAGTAGGTATCAGTGGAACTGTCACAACAGTGAGCCAGGGGGAACCGGGTGCAAATCTCGGCCCTGGCCGCTGGGCAACCCAAGAAGGCAAGCAAGAGAAACAAAATGTCCAGCTGGATCCCAAGCAAAACAAACTGGGGGTTGATTGAGGACGATCTCATATGCACTTATTACAGATTATTAAGGAGGTGATCGAGTAAACAAGTGTGGTGTTTGGCGAAATAATTTGCCGCTCTGTCTGCTCAAATATTTGACAAGTCAGCTGGAGTTTGAGTGAAGGTTTGAGCATCTCTCTTGAATAGCTTCAAAAGGAATGAATCATTAAAATCTGGCTTGTCAAATGTGCTGCCCATGACATGTTCAATGCTGTAAAATTGTCACTTGAAAAAAAAATTAACTGCATGCATTTGTGGGTGAAAATTACTGTTGTTTTCACAGGGAGATATGGCAAGAGGTTATGAAGGTCATGTGTTTACTGTCAATTCAAAGTCAATTTTTTGATTGATTTAAAGAGCATCCTGAGGGTGTCTATTTTCAGGATCATACTACACGTACATAACGAACAGTTTACTGATATTTACAGCTTTGAATAAACTTCTGAAAAAAAAAATTAATCCCAATGAGCTCCGGGACTAAGTACGAAGTCTGCTTGCATGTATGAAACCACAAGGATATCCAATGCTGGGAATCCCTCGAGAGAAACCAGGTCTTGGCTGATTACTGCACACAAAAACGTTCACCCAAACACTGCTCTTGCCACCCCTGACTGACAGAACTTCATCTCACCCACCTCTCAAATTCCATTCATTCTATTGGCTGAGAAAAGTTTTAGACTCTTCCATTTAAATCTTAAGGTAGAGAAGAAACAGACTCTATGTAGCTGTCTGTGGGGAATTTTTTTTTTCACCCATGAAAGGGGAAATTATGACAAATATCGATAGTCAGCTTATATCAATATTTTTCAAATAATACATAAGTCAATTGGTCCCAGTTAAGATTTAAAATTATTTAAAAAGTATAATGTGATCAAAATTCATTACTATTTTTTTTATAACAGGAATACATTTCAGTGCAGGAAATAGTGTATTTGTCAGATAATCTCTCTGCAAATTAATGCATGAACTACCATACCACTCATTTTGTTTTCCAAGTGCTACATCTGTTGAAAAGCATATATTTATGCCTTGATATAATTTCCTTCTGTGGTTGCTTTCGCATTTGATGAAAACTCCTCTTTCCTCAATGAACACAGCAGACATGTGCAGTCAGCCTCATGAAATAAAATATTGTTCAGTCGATACACCATTACTCATCAGCCCACTGGAGAATCAAATCACTTACAAAATATTGATTCAAAAGACAACAACGTGGTGTGTAACCATGTGTACATGAAACAATTCTTTTTTTATAAAGCCCCTCTCCCAGAATTCCCCTAGCAAAGATGATTAGAAAGATGAGTTACAGGTGAGGTGAGATCATTCTGTCAGCACTTGGGTCTGGTTGTCTAAGGTAGCAAAGAGCTAGAGCAGCACAGGCGGCGCAGCACCAGTGAGAGGGGAGAGCTCGTCTATAAGCTGAGGCCGAAGCGAGAAGCGGCGGGGGAGGGCCGGGGTCGGAGGCTTCACAGCTCTCTGCACGGGTGACCCCAGAGTGATCAGCCGGCCAGGTTTGCTGGCACCAGCACCAGACAGGCTGGCGCCAGGTGCAGACAAGGCAGGGAAAGATTGGTTACCCCTGGTTTGACACCAGATGTTGGAAGTGGAAGTGCCAGAAGGATGATAATGATGATGATTATCCGTGGGGCTGCATCATTAAAGGAGCAGGCTGGGATAACAACAGCACATGTACAACAAAGACTGCATCAATTTAGTGTGCTCCTAATGTTGTCGACAATTTGTAAGTTCTGCTAGTTTAAATTTTACCTTTTATCATTGAAAATACTGAGACTGCCAGTGATCTATAGTCTGTTACTAAGCCAGTGCTGCACCGCTCCTTGACAACATAATCAATTGAGCATGCAAATTTTGTTTCAGATCTATGGACATGACAGTCCAAATCAATGTAGATTTTATAGTCTTGTTTCATGTCTGAAAAATCAAGACTCTTTACTGGTCAATAAGGGTATTTGACTTCACAGCAATGCTTCACTGATTGCTCCTTGAGAAAAGGCTACCTGCAGATACTGCCAATTAGAAATAAATTTGGGGGAGGAGGGCTCCCGTTTCCCCACCTATATAATGAACCACACAACTTTTGAAGCAAGGCTTTTTTTGAAGTTGTAAGCAAGTTGTTGAAAATATTTTTACTGCTTTTAATAAGTGGGACATTAAAAAATTGACAGGAGCTTGGAGAATCAAAAAAAAAAAAAAAAAAACATCGTGAGGAAGGGGATGGAAGGGATGAAAATTGAAAAGTCTTTCCTTAAATATCTATCAAATGTTTCTGCTTAATTACACTTGGCAAATGTCCTTCAAACTTTGGAGAACCAGGGCCACACACATGTAGAGCTCTATCAACAAAGATGTAAGGAGCAGCAGCCTAAGGTATAATGACATAAATGACTCTAAAAATGAAAGTGTACCTTTAAAACAACACCAGCCTTCTCTTCTGTGTAGCATGTGTGTGTTGCAGGTAGGGAGAAGAAATGCCGACCTGATCAGCCGAAACAAATGATACCATATGGCCCCAGTGAATGGTTTATCATGGGAAGGCTCCCCGTCACAGATGAATTCCTTATCAATGGCTACACCATGAATCATAAAGGTGTTGTACTGACTGTCTGCAATGATGCCTACTGCATCCAGTTCCCCTGCTACACCCGCCTCTTTCTCTTTTGTGTGTATTGCGCATCAGGCCGCTGGATACGGCATTTCATTCAGGAGAAAAATAAATAAATTCACAACAAACAGAAGCTCACGAAAACACAAGCTCACAGAAGCAGGTCTGTGCATTAACAACCAAAAAAAAAAAAGAAGAAAATATCACAATGTCTACTCTTATAAAATGCTCTCCTGTCAGATGGAAAAAATCACAGTTCTCCCTAGACTTGAGTCAGATATCCTTAGCAGCTGAGCTTGGGGCAAAGATTGGCAGTGTAATGTGGCATAAATTGCTAGATGGAATGATGAGCCGCTGTAAAAACGCCAAGATGCACCAGTATCATAGCAGAACATCCAGGCTTCTTTTTATCTGAACTCATCAACTGCTTCTTGTTTGATTTTCAAAGTCTTGCGGTCCTACCAATATGGATGAGAAAATTCTTATTCCTCCTTACTGTTGTATTTCCATCAACAAAAAGGGATGGGTCTAAAAACAATCTGTGAGGGAAGAAGTCATTTCTGGGGGCCACTTTTCCCTACACGTTACTTACGGACTGACGAGGACTATTAAGAGCAATGATCAGGATAGTTTTGGGCAAACAGCATGACACTCTCTTGTCATTTATTACCCCTCTCCCCACCCTCATTTACCCTTCTTCCCACCCCCACACCGTCTACCCCATTTCTGGAGTGGGACGTCCTTGCTGGTCAAGAGACTCTCTCATGAACACTTCCCCCTGAAGTAGTGATTAAGAAATTGCCATTAAAATGTACATAACATTGTTTGAGAGGTACATAGTTAAGCACTGCAGTCCATTCAATGTTTTTGCAAAACAAAAAACAATCACATGCCACAGAAAAGAATGAGGAGAGAAAACTAGGGCTGGATATGACAGCACACCGACAGCAAAAAGGAAGAGAACAGGCTTCTTGTCATTTCAGCAATGGCAGGACAGAGATATCAGCCTGGCGTACATAATGCGTATCAATCCAAGTGAATTGAGGGGAAAATGAAGGCAGTTTGAGCCTAATGTCTGCTCTGACTGACTTCATCACCACTTAGCCATCTCCATGCATCAGGTGAGACAACATCAAAAGATTACAGAGCCCCAACTAATTGGCTTAAAGAAATCCTCAGCCAGTGAGACACTGTTATTGGATGGGTGCCCAGCCAGTGTACAGTGGCCTGGCTTGTTTGGCTGATTTCCTACCCCTCCCCCAAGCCACAATCCAACCCCCCCACCAAATCCACCTTCCAATTACCCCAGGTAGATACACTTTCAATCAATTACCTTTGCTCCTCCTGACCAGCAGCTGTAGCTCCCTTGACTGACAGCCCAACATCAATCCACCTCTGGTATTGGCTGGCGTGGTGTGCACTGGTGCCGGCCAGTCTAGACATCATAACTCAACACATTTCACAGCTGGGGCTGGCTGCACCGCTTGGGCGGCAGGGACATGATCAAACACTATAGGGGGAGAAGTGACATCAAGAAATACAATTACACACAAAAAACCCAGAGAGAAGTAATAGGAAGAAGGGGAAAAAATAATGAAAACAAACCTGGACTCTGGTGATGATGATGATGATGACGATCGGACTGCAGGACGGAGGCAGAAGCTCAGAGGATCTAGCAGAGTTAAGGAGGACAGTGGCCACAGCTTGATTACAATTCGCTGGTGCTGATGATGTCATGGCTGTTCATTTTAACAGATTCTCTCCCCCTGAAGGCAAGTCGGGTGAGTCCCTAACGTTTGTACAAATTTTCTTTGTGGTCTGGTGAACATTGTTGTTTGTTTGAAGGTGGAACAGTTTTGGAAAAGCAATGGTGGAAATCATTCTGACCATGGTGACTGTGGAAAGAGTTTGAATGACGAGAAAACCAGTTTTTTCAAACGTGGAATTTCTGTTCCTCACCTGTCCTCCGCCATTTCCCACACAACAAAAATGACCCAATTTTGCCACTTTTTTTGGGGGGGGGGTTGTTGTTACATGATACATGTATATGTATCAAGCATACATGTAATAAGTTAGAGTCATCAATAAGTCTATCAAAAGTCAGTCTCACAGTCGGGTCACAAGTGCTGAAGGGCTGAACAATGACAAAGAAATGCACATGTAATTGTGACAGTCTCCTTGAATGACTTTAGGTTTGACACACGATGAGTTCCCACTGGCTTGTGATTGACAAGAGATGACTTTTGATGACACAATACAACTCTGCAAAGTGATGTTGAAACTTTCACACTTGCTAATGTGACTGTTGAATTTGGCATTTGCGAACCTTTGCCACTGGTTATTTCATAACATAAACTTTAAATATGTATGTAGAATTTGGATTGTAAAATTGTAAAAAGACATGTCAAAATTTTTGAAAGACTTGTGACAAAAGCCTAATGTTGATTAACAGCAAGAGTGTGTAGTCAGTGTTTTGCCCACTTGACTTGGCTGAAATGAGAAGGCGTGCTAAAAGCACTAAGGCCAGTTACCCCTGGGTGCTGGAAACTGTAGTAATAAAAATCTGACAAGGCACCACACACCACAGTCACCAGCCAAAGGTGTTAGGTATGGGTGATTTGATGGGGGCCCACCCCTCCACAGAAAACCACAGGAGAGCCCTGGTGGTTGTCTCTTGTCTATACCTGGCGTACTCCTGCAAGGATAATATATGAGCTGTAAACCACCAACTGACAAACGTGGAATGTGGTCGGTTAGCCAGGGAGTGAAAATACACCTCCAGAGAAACAAAGCCATTTCGGCAATTTGAAAACAAACTGACTAAATTTCTAAAACAACTTGTGCTTTATATAAATGGCATGGCCTGTTCAACTTTAAAAGTTATGAAAAAAAATGTGAAAAACTACTGTTCCTTTTTTTTTAGTAGTCAAGACTAGGATTATTTTCAAAGCAAATAACTTGTGCATGACAATAAACAGTTTGTATTTACTTTATAGATTTATAACTTGTCGAAGTATGGAATGCTCATCACAGTTGGAAAAATGGACCGAGAAACATTCATTTAGAGACCCAATAATTATCTTTTCTTTGCCGTTATTCCCTAATGTCACTCTGAGAAAACATAAACAGAAATACTGAGGTAAAACAAACAATTCTTTAGACAGAAAGTACATGTACATGCGAGAGAGGACATTCACAGAGAAACATTTATGAAATTTCCACTATGCTATAAAGACTCAACTGATATATATATACATAACCCCAAACCGTAGCCTTATGTTTCTGTATGTGTCTCTTTAGCACACTTGTAGGGAGACCTTTTGCAAAGGGGAATAATTTATACCTGGTACTGTATATGCAAAGCCTATCTGACTGGCGCCAGAGGGTTGAGGAGCCAGGAGCAAGTCTAATAAATTCTTCCCTTCTGTGTACAAACACTACACATCGGGAATAGATTAACGCTGGCAAATTAAATCAGCATTATGTTCTCTGGTGTGGCGACATGGGGGAGGCGATCATTTGCATGGAGGTATTCTGTTAACAAAGGGCTGTAAAATGTGCATTCTTAGATATTTGCTGGAAATCTGTAGCTATTTTCAGGAATGGTTCTAAAAATGTCCATTTCAAACTTTCAAACCTGCAATTATTATCTGAGGTTAGTAGGATTTTAAAAAAGAACAAGCAACTCTCAGACACAATTTGAATGTCCTGTTTAATTTCACTTCAGCTGAGCTGAAACTTTTACGCTTGTACATGTCGTCTAGGCTACTTAGAGAACATGCATCTTAACATCATGAGTAAAATCTCCTTCATCTAAAATGTTAAACATTCTGAACTCTGCAAACACATTAAATTCTGACTGCAGACACCGGTGACATTTTGCATTATCTGCCATTAGCAGACATAAAAAGCCATACGCCCTCCTTGATTCCTCAACCCAGTGTCGTACATTTCCCTGAGCAGTCAGCTATGCTAAAAGGCATCCTTAACAGGACAGGGCATAATGCAAAAGACAGGTACATGTGTAGTACAGTGTCTGATAAGTTCAAAGACAGTGAGAGTGGTGTCTGCCTGGCTGTCAGACTGTGTTTACGATACCTCTGTGAGATCTCAGTCCAAAACTGTTCAGACTTCAGGGAGAGAAAGAGAGAGAGAAGGGAAGAAAAAAAAAAGATGAAATGGTCCATTAATCCTGCTGCACCTCAACTTACAGGGGCCCCCATGATCATAAGTAACAATTTTACAGGACGGCAGGTTGGCGCCAGACCTACCATGCGGAGCAGCGCTGATGGAAAGGGAGACAGTGGATGTGCCATAGGTTAGCCAATCTGCTCCTGTATGATCACCCTACTAGACTCTCAGAACTAGGGCATGATGTTTCCATCCCCCCCTCCCACAAGCCTGGTGTAGAAGGGGATATGATGGCCAGGGCTCCCCAAGCTAACGTAAATAACAGACAATTAGCGGATACCACACAGCTTTGATAGTAAGGGGGGGGTGGCAAGAGGTGGCTTTTTGGTGGCAGGATGGTGGAGGTGTAATGGAGGCATTAGTAAGGCGCCCCAGTGTCTATGAACCTCCAGCGGTGTCCTGCCCCTGGCAGTCACTGCTGGACCCTGTCTGAACAGTTATCCCCACCTAATTGAGACTAATTAGGAAATGTGACAGCTACTCCAAAACCGCCATATCGTGTGTACAACTGGCAGCAAATATCACTCTATCACACCTTGAGTGTGGGTTGTTGGCTGGTTGGTTGAAAGTCTGAAGTACAAAATGTACACCAGTCTAGTCTCCTTTGGGCCATTTTTTGTCAGAAGTGTTGATAAGAAAATACCTGGAAAGAACCTGGTTTGGTTTATTTTTGGCACTGGACTGGAATTCTGACAGGAGTGATAAGCCCAATCTTCATGTCTCCTCTGATGGCATTGCCCTTTGTAATATTCCCTCCTTGTGCTGATGCTCACGCTTTGGCATGATGAATCATTAAATCCGTTTGAGATGTTTACTTACGTTTTATTCTTATTTACCAATGAAGAGCGTTTCACAATTAAATTAGGCAGAACAAAATCGAGTACCTCATTAGCATTTACTTCCTACCTCCTTTTAAAGTTTTCTTTTTAATTTGCAACATATTTTGACAACAAAATACTGGTACACAACTATGAAAGCACGTTGAAAACCTGTGCGAGACACAAAAGCGGTACATACCCTAGATAGTTAAGAAAATCAATCTGCCATTTTAGAAAGAAACCTCCATCAAAAAAGGGCCTCTTCCCTGTCTTCAAGGATTAGGGCCGAGTCAATTCGAATAATTCGCTGTTCGAATATTGGCCCTCCAATTTGATCAAATATCCAAATATTCGGTATATTTGTCGATGAACAAACCATACACAAAATCAGTTGCAATAACGCACACAATTGTACATTAAAATCAATATAATAGCTTCTCACATCTAGGAGAATCTTCAGCCACGATTTAGCAAGATTTAAGACATGAACAATACCTCTTGCCCTGTGAAAAATTTCTATTCCTTTTAAATTGTTTAATGAATAATTTACTTAATCGTTGTAAGATTTCTATTGCTTTCCATTCGAATCTGCTTGAAACAAGGCTCCATAGTGCAATTTTTCTCATTTAAAACAAAAGAAAATGTTCCCTTCCTTTTCATAAATTTTGCAATCAAATATTCAATCGGAAAATAATAATCGAATATTCGGTTATTCAGATCAGCCCTATCAAAGATCCCATCAAAGAAACTAATTTTTAAAACTTGTCCATACAGCTCATCAAAACAAATTTGATGAGACCAACCCCCCCCAAAAAAGATAAGAAAATGAGGCAAGGGCTTAGATCTGGGGGTATGCTGATGGTAAAATATTTGCTTTCCATTTCACTTCTAGGATGAATTAAAAAAAAAATACTCAGTCTACCGCCAACTCACCATGAGTTTGTTTTTTCCATGTTGTTGAACACATGGAGACTCTAGCAATGTGAGCATTATCATAAGAAACCTGAATGCAAACTGGAAGTGCACTTCAGCCTGGGTGGGATTCTAACCATGGTCGTGTAGGGTACACAAAGCAATCAAAAATAACTGGTGTTACTTCCTTGAACCAAAATGCATTCAGCATTTAATTCAGTACAGAACTGCCAATAACCTGTCCTGTTCTGGAAAAACATTTCTTGTTTGCCACGGAGCCAGAATTATTTGTTTGAGAACAAATGACACCATTTCAAATTCATATTCAACATGTACCTGGGTCACTGACAAGAGTACAAGAAGAAATCCATAATTTTTTAAAATCTTTGGTGGCGGCTGCAAACAGACACTCACACGCAACACACATTTAGCGGACTCTTGCCAAAGTTCAACAGCCAGCAAGGCACTGGCGCTCGGGAAGGGGGATACTGTACTTTCCACTCACACCAACCAATTGAATTAGAACTGGTACATGTATTCTTTCAAGTCTGACTGCCCGCACACTGCACAGGACATTCCTGACACACTTAGGGCTGGTTAGACCTACAGCTCTCACTCCCAAAGAAATATACAAAAAAGACTAAATTGGAGCCATTTATAATTAATAATGCTGATTTAAGCAAACGAAGGAGGAAATCATCATCATTGCTTTGAATTGCGATGCCCGCTCACTCAACGGTTTAGTGGTTTCAATCATTTGGGAACTTGACTTGTGTGACAACAGAGGTGTTGGTGAAAAGCAGGATTTTTTTCCGTTTGTTTTTGGTGGGGAGGGGACCACACTCCAAAATGACTCTAGC